TAGGACTTAAGCAAGGTTATCAAACTGGGGTCGAATTGGCCGGTCGGATCGGGTTTGGCCAAAACCATGCACTAAAAGGGCTAGAGCCAGCCATAATTAGAACTGGCTGGTTGGCGGTCAAAGCTGGTCAACACCGAGGTCTGACCAGACTTATCTGGCTACCGGCTATGAGGAAAGTGGCATCGTTTTTGGCTGGTCTAGAACTTCTTCCAACTTTAATCTAACCCGAGAATTGCATTCTCATCCCTTCATTCCCTTCTTTCATCGAGCGCAGCCAACAGAGGAGCAGAGCACGCAAGCGGCAACAACGAGCGCAACAGAGCCTTGCCGCCAGCGCTCCCCGCCACATGCCTCACCGACTCTCCTCACCCCCTCGTCTCGACCTAGCTCCCCACTTCCTCGATGTCGCTCGCCACCGGACGAAATGTCTTTCATCAGCGGCCACTGAATACTATGCTCCATGTGCTCTTGGAGAATACTATGCTCGTGTGCTCCTGGAGCATACTATGCTCCATGTACTCGTGGTGAAATATCTCTATCTAGACCATGAATTAAACCGAGGTTGGGGTATGATACTATACCCTAATCTCAAATGCATAAACCCCAGGCTCCGATTTTCTAATCCCAAACCCAAAGTTAAATTTAAGAGAAAAGAAGAATGGACCATTGAGATTGACCGGAGCTAATCCATGTAAATCTAACGGTCAGATCATCTGGAGTATACTATGCTCCTGGAGCATACCAGTCATCTCCATATATATGGCAAAGGCTAGCGTACGCTCGGGCGTACCTTAGTATACCGTACACCTGTTGAGTTTTGCTATTTAGACAATGAATTAACCAAATTTTGAGACATGATACTATATCCTAACCCCTAATGGGTGAAGCCCAGTCCCCAATTCACTAATCCAAAGCATAATATTCATTTAATCTTGAAATGCAAATCAACGGTCCTGATTTGTCGAAATTATTGTTGATTTACTTCTTAAGATTAAACGAATCTCATGATTTGCGTTAGAAAATTAGGTACTGGGGTTTACCCATTAGAGGTTAAGGTATAATATCATGCCAAAAACTCTGGTTAATTCATTATCTAAATAGTAAAACTTAACGGGCGTACGATAGCCTAACATACGCCCGGGTGCATGCTAGCCTGAATCCATATATATAAGGTGAATTCTATGGTACCCAGGGTGAAATCCGGGGTAGCGCATACCTTGAGTATGAAAACGCTATCCAAACCTTGAATTGACTTATGTTTCGGACATGATAGTGTACTCTAATCCCTAAAGATCAAAATCTAGGTCTTAATTCTCTAAATCGTATACCCCAAGATCAATTTAATCAGAAACAGTGATCGACGGTTATGATTCGTCCAAATATAGGAAAAAATTGAATGCACCACCTTAGGATTTGTAGTTTATGATTTAGATAATTAGCCAATTAGGACCTAGGGTTCACTAATAAAGGGTTAGGGTATAGTATTAAGTCAAAACACCATGCTAATCCGAGGTTTAGATAACACTTTCATACTCAAGGTATGTGGTACCCTGGGGTGAAATGCAAGGTACCACATACCTATATGCATAATTTATTAGGTGTCAATAGCTCTCCAGTATCAACTACCAACATATCTTGTGAAAACCGGCCTAACCCGGTTGAACCCCGATCTTACCATTAAACCTCAAACCCCTTTACAAACAGGTTGGACGACTTAATCCAGTTTAACAACCTTGGACGTAAGTGATTAATATTTACTAATAATTTGATTTATTACTTTCAATGGATGAAGAATCCTATAATAAAAGAAGCCTCAGTAATCCTGTTTAATTTGACATCCAGATTAGAACAAAACGATCGATAATGGGGTGCAGCTGTTAATTGGTTATACTTTTTAATGGATGAAGAAGCCTCATTATTTCCTTATTGCATTGTTGGTTTAGTTTTACGTTTACTCTCCTATTAAAAGTTTGGACTTTGCTACGGTGACTTGCACCAATAGGTCGACCGCAAACTAATAAAGGTCGATCGAATCTACTGTTTCTGTTTTGTTACGTTCAACAAAGCTGTCGACATTGTACATAAAATGGTCGACCCCTTTGGCAAGCAAACAATAAAAAAGGTTGACCTCAATCTTAAAGCGGTCGACGTTGTACATTAAATGATCTACCTCATTCTTAAAAGGATCGACCTCTATACCCATACCCGTCCCTTTTTTTTAAGGTTACGGGTACCCAAATACATGTAATATTTATTAAGGGATGAAACATGGGATTAAGAATTTTGACATTGGATACCCACGGGTTACCCACTATTACCCGTTTGGGTAGTATGAGTATCCGTAATACCCATTATATTAATTCCATATACAATACCATAGCTCAAAGCCCAGCCACATGAGCACGCTACAGGTGAGTGGACACAGAGACGGAAGATGAATTTCGATCTTTCAGTGGAAGATACATGCATCCCACCACATCCGGCTATCATTATGCTAGCAACACCAATCATGAAAATACGGATGAGTGAGAGGAGAGAGGTCTAGGAACTCCATTATTTCGATTGTTTTTTTTTTTTTGTTATTGTGAAATTTGTTAAGTCTTAAAGACGATTTGGCTTAAAGCAACTATGATCGTGGATTGATATTAAGTCGATGTGGTTTTCCATTTTAGGTATGTATGAACTATTGTGAGGTTTATTTTATTGTATTTGGTGTTGGTGATTAAGATGCTAAGAAGTTATGGTTTCTTGCTATTATAATTGTGGATTGAATTTCTTGGTTTCTATCGTAATTTCTTAGACCGGATGAGCACATAGGTCGACCAAATTGTGCAAGTAACAGTGCCTTGCATGTCACCAACTCACCATAGCCATAGTCCATAGGTGTCCCCTAAAATTTTTTGAATTAGATTATGTGCATGAGTAGTGACCTTTTTAATTGCGACATGTAGTTTGTGGAAGATTAATCATATTGTACAAAAAAACTTACGCTTTTACGCTATATGACTCACTCCTACTGTCACTCTAGAAAATGGCCAAGTGTAACCACTTCCTAAAGTGTAGTATAGCGGGTTTGGGTTTTAATGTCAACCCGGGTCCTAGATTTGATGACTACTCGGTGAATTCTTGTTATCTAGCAGTGAAACTTTAGTGCAGGTTCAAGCAAACAAAAACGCAAAGCAAGTTAAACGGTTGTTTTCAAGTCAAGAGAGGTCACCCGGATATGGTTCCCCCTAGACTGCAGTTAAGCCGGATTGCAATTTACCAAGTTCAGTTTTCATGAAAGTTATACTGCGGAAGGTTCTAAAACAGTCTGAAGTCTCGACTAAAGGTCTCCAGACCCTCTCAATCTGAGTCTCTAGCGGGCGACTAACCTCCACCGGAGTAAACAAATTGAGGCCCTAACGAACCAAACCTCCACTACCGAATTGAATTCGGTACAGAATAGCGAATTGGCTCCTCGACTAAAGTCGCCAATTCACTACCTTCAATTAAGGATACTCTATCAACCTAGGCAGATATTCTCATTCTAGGTCAAAGCAGAAACAACATGAATTTGATCAGGATTCAAGTCATTCAATCATTCAAACCTCAATCGAATATAATCAATTCATAAACTCTGTACTTGGGTTCATACAATCAGGCCTAGCATACAAATCTAGGGTTCTCCATACCCAGATGAATGGGGGAACTACTCCATGGAGAGAGAAGCAAAAGCAGATTCAGACGCGGAAATCATACTGTGAAGGATGGATTTCTGCTCCTGGACGTTGATCGGCACTTCTCCAAGCTCAAGCCAAGCTCCAATGGTGATGAAGATCAAGCTAGGGCACTTGGGAACTCTTGTTCGTCGCTTTCTCTCTCTAGGAATCGCTCTGTCTCTCTAAAAACTTGGAACCTTTGAATGTTGGCCTTCTTCTCCTTTAAATTGGCTGCCTGTCGCGATACTCGGTCGAAATACCCGGTCGGGTATTTTGGGTTTCGACCGGGTATTATTTAAAACGCGCGTTTTGGTCGAGGGAGAATCCCCGGTCTACTCCAATAATCCCCGACCGGGGATTTAACCTTCACGCCCGGGCCCCTCTCTGTTTCACGGGCGCCCAAAACGATAAATACCCGGTCAGGCATTTTGCCACCTGACCGGGTATTTTCCTCCTGCAGCCCACTTCGTCCCAACTTTGCTCCTTTCGACCCAGAACTCGTTTCTCTGCCTCGATTCCAACGCCGGGTCCTGAAATATGACATAAGCACACAACCTAGCGTGAAATCGGCTTAAAACACGAGAATCAATATCTCAAACGGCTTCAGAATAGGTGTGAAAACATGTATAATTATCGGTCTATCACTATACTTTACGTTTTTATTGATATTTCCGCTTCTGTGTAGAAACGAGCATATGACTACATTGGTCACACGAGTTCACATGGGAGGTGAAGGTGGTTGTGAAGAAGCAATTAGTATAGGAGTGAGAACATGGCTAGATGGACGAGCTAATGCCAATGTAGTTTGATATTGTTGGTAAAATTGTGGGAATTCTTGGGTGAACATTGCCACCTTAGCGATCCGTATTGATCGCTTATCTTTTCAGCAATTAAATCTTCATATCTACGGCGATCAAGGCCTATACGGCTTTAGACTTAAGCGAACAGAACGGAACATATGTAGATTGAAAAATTATTTTGGTGCTATTGTATTTTGAGAATTTTTATAACTAGTGTACTTTGGAAAAAAAAAATTCCTTTTATGGTGAAGGAACACAAACCCGTGAAAAGCATATTCGGGAGTATGCTGGATAATTGGCACAATGCTGAGCTGTCACATGTAAGTTGTAACTACTAACTCCTTGCTTGCACGTAATACGATTTTGATTAAAAGAAAGTTCAAGACTAAACTATACCTCTTTGGTCATCCTCTCCTCTGGATCAGGCTTACAAAAAGATAAGACTTAATGATGACAACAATTAACAAATTCGATATGCAAAAGAAGAAAATAAAGTAGGAAAGAAATTGGGAAGTTCACTGCTGACCTGTCTTGTACAAAGCACAAACCAAACCAAACAGATCCTTGGAAAATTGGTCACTGCAGTCTGCAATAGGCAGAAACTCTCTTTTCTTTGATTTTTTGTTCCGGAAATGGCGACGAGCGAGAAGAAGGGCTTCACAGCCACTCTGTATTTCATCCTTCTTACGACCATGTGCCTAGTCGGGGAATTCCCTCTTAACGCTGTTGCTGGGAACGCAGCCCCTCTTTTGCAGAGATATGAAGATGGGAATGAGCATGGTTACAGCAGAGCCTTCAATGCCATTTATGATACGTCCAAGTACGGGATTTTGCAGCTCCAGAATGGCTTGGCAAGAACTCCTCCGATGGGGTATGCTTTCTCCTCTCTCTTTGCGTACTGGGTTTTGTACTTCTAAACGTGAGGTTTTGTTGATTTCTAGAATTATTTGATTGTTGCTGATTTCTGGATATGAACTGTTCAAGTCTGCTTATGATCGAGGGTTCCGAGCTGGCTTTGGTTCCTTTTAAGTAATTCAAAATGTGACGACTTTTCAAGCCTTTTATTTCCCATCTTCGGTTTGGCATATTGAGAAGTGCTTTGGTTTCTTATCCAAATGTATGTCTTGGCAGATGGAATAGCTGGAATTTCTTTGCATGCAACATCAACGAAACAGTGATCAAGGAAACAGGTGCACTAATGGGTAGTTGTAGAGATCAGTGGGGTGCTTTAATTTGGAAGTTGGGCAGAAGAGATTTCCTGGTTTATGCAATTGCTGCGAAGGAAACAGCTTCATCCAAGTTTATTCTTTTTATAAGCATCTAAATTTGGCATTCTGACATGCATCATAGCTTGATCCTTCATGAACATAACCTGATTGAAGAGTATCCATATATGGCTGGAAAGCTGAATGTGTCAGCTGCTTGATAAATGATAGTGATGTGCTAACTTAGATTTTGCTTTTACAGCTGATGCCCTTATCTCAACTGGCCTGGCCAACTTGGGTTATACATATGTCAATATAGGTAGCCGTTTTGCAGGGTTCCATTTGCTTTAACTTTTAGTTTCTTGTTCTCCTCAGATCTAACCATGTTTTTTCGATTTTTTCCTTGGACCCAGATGATTGTTGGTCTAAGGTCACACGAGATGCAAAGGTCAATCGCTCTCTTTAAGCCTTTTCAATACATGTACCTTGATAATGGTGTAATGTATCTGTGCATGCAAGTACACTGACACAGTTGGCTAGTAGAACAGCATCCGCATAATAGCAGCCTTTTATAATCTTATGATGTGGTTGTTTGGTCTTGTGATTAATACAACTGTCTTGTGGTGACATAACGAATGCTAACTAAATTCATAGACTCAAAGACAATCGTAAGGCAGGTAGTAAAATAGCAAACTCCTTACTGTGTAAAACAAAAATGATGCTTTTACAGGGCCAAATGGTTCCTGATCCGAAGACCTTTAAGTCTGGGATCAAGGCTCTTGCAGACTATGTTCACTCGAAAGGCCTGAAGCTTGGTATCTATTCTGATGCTGGGTAAGAACTCTTTAGTAGCTTTTCTTATGGCAAAACTTGAGTTTACTTGTTATTCTTCATGTCAAAGCCCAACGGTGCAATACTTACCGTTTATACTAAATACTTTCTGCCTGTCTTTTTCCCCAGGAAATTTACTTGTCAAGTTCGCCCAGGATCGATTTTCCATGAAAAAGAAGATGCAATGTCATTTGCTTCATGGGTTAGTTGTAGCTTATGTTGTCGGTAACTGGCATTAAATGCTGCAACTTCCTCTTTGAAGCTGTCACACTCAACTAATGGTGTTATTCTGGGCAGGATGTGGATTATCTGAAGTATGACAACTGTTTCAATCTGGGCATCGAACCCAAAAAAAGGTTGTCTCTCAACTCTCAGTTGTTATAGAAATGATGGCTTTCATGCGAACAAATCATGAAAGCTAGTGCCACTTCCTGGATCTACAGATACCCACCAATGCGTGATGCTCTAAATGCAACTGGACGATCAATTTTCTACTCAATCTGTGAATGGTAAAAGAGCCTACCTTTTGTCTTTATGTCCATATATCCAAGGTACCTCTGTATTATTACAAGCTCTTTTGGTTTAAACAGGGGTGTGGATGACCCGGCCTTGTGGGCTGGAAAAGTTGGCAACAGTTGGCGTACAACAGAAGATATCAATGACACATGGGTAAGGTAAATCTTTCTGAAACTCGGTTAACTGTTTAACCACTTACATCTCGTATATGGTATACATGCCTCTGATTCATCTTCTAACCCTGCTAATTTTTCCAACTAGTATTTTAGGCATTTGCTGGGTCTGTGTTCCGTTACCACCTAGAAATAGGAAAGGGCAGTTCCCTTTACTGAGAACTTACAAATCATTGGTGCAGAACCCTTTATTTAGCGGAAAAAAGAGTTTATAACTCAAACCTATCATGTTTTTCCTCTTTGCACCATGGAATTTGTTCGAAGTTTTGTGGTCATTAAGTATTTAGGTGATACATAGCCAATCCTCATTCCAACTCATTTGGATTTTACAAGCAGCAAAATCTGGGTTAAGGTGATATTGAATGGAACTACACTGAAAATAGCCCAACACTATTGACAATGGAAAGCTTCACCGAGAGAATCTCTGGGTTAATCATAAAACCATGGCTTTCATTCACCGCGTCTTCCTTGTTGGTTTTGCTTTGAGAGCTAAACTCTTGATTGCAGTTCTAATGATCCTAAGGAAATGTATCCTGTGAAACTTCTCTTCTAGCATATCTACTTGAGCAAGTGAACAATTTGTCAGATTCTAGGAGGCGGAAAGGCAATATTAGTTTGTTATATTTCAGATAATAGTTGCTTGGTTGTAGAAGTTCTCTACAGAAAGATGTTGGAATGCTGATCTTCTTTCACCTTTTTTTTTTCTTTCTGAAGCATGACTAATATTGCTGATTTGAATGACAAGTGGGCGGCTTACGCTGGACCTGGTGGATGGAATGGTGGGATCATATCTATGTGCAGAGATCTAGATGAACACAGCCATATTAAGTTTGACTTTTGTAATTGATACCCCGTGTTATTTATGCGGTGCAGATCCGGATATGTTGGAAGTTGGCAATGGAGGCATGACATACAAAGAATATCGTTCTCATTTTAGCATATGGGCTTTGATTAAGGTTTATCTTCTTATTACTCATTCTTTTCATCTTAAGCTCTGGGCTCTCATCATCCTACTACGAGTCCACAAGAAAAGAAAGTTAGGGATCAACTGGGAGAAACATAAAAATAAAATAAAAAAAATAGAAGCAACTGATTGCTGCAAAGGGTAATCTGACTTACATGGGAAATAGTTATTGGCTTATAGCTAAGTCTTTCTTCAGCTTGATGGTTGTTCTGAGTTGTCCTATACTTGTTCAGATGTCATTGCTCATTAAGACAGAGTATTGTAGTATCATGTGTGTCCGTTGGCTAGTTTTCCATAATATTATAATATATTCCAAATTTGATTTGAATGTATGGCCGACGACAGATATACCTTGTGTGCAGGCCCCTCTATTGATTGGGTGTGATATAAGAAACATGACTGCAGAAACTAAGGAGATTTTAAGCAACCAGGAGGTCATTGCGGTAAACCAAGGTAAAACCAACTTGACGACAAAATATTTTTTTCTCTTCTTAATTGCTGCATTCTATAATTTCTTGCTGTTGACATGAAATGGCATTGTTTCATTTCATATTGGCCTACCGTTTGCTCTACTACCCAGATCCACTTGGGGTTCAGGGAAGGAAAGTGCATAGCAATGGAACTGATGGTTGCCAGCAGGTCCTTTTGTTGTCTCAGTATATGCTCAGTATATGCATAACTTGTTTTCTTGCCAAATTGGCTTATTATATTATAATAATAAATGTGGTAACAGGTTTGGGCTGGCCCTTTATCTGGGAATAGCTTGTCTGTTGTTCTGTGGAATAGATGTATGCAGGCTGCAACTATAACAGCTGAATGGAATGTGATTGGGCTTGAAGCCGGCACTAGTGTCTCAGTGAGGGACCTCTGGCAGGTAAGCGGAGTGAAGGAATGTACAGATCACACTTTATTCATTTGAGTAGTTATACAATGAAAGCAGCGTTGCAGGCTGAAAAATTTGTATGATAGACATTCCCATCAATGGGTTTTGGAATGTATATCAGCTCCCCTTGTTTGTACTGTAACTAACCATGACAGATTCTTTTTGTTGCAGCACGAAGTGGTTCTCAACAATGCAGTGGCATCATTTTCTGCTCAACTTGATGCTCACGACTGCCGGATGTACGTTTTTACCCCTCAGGCAGCCCTCATGGGGAACGTTATGTAGCCTTGGATGTTGGTGAATGTAAGAGATGCTTCCATTCTTCTTGTACGGTCCTGTATTCTGTATGTGTTCTTGTAACTAGAAGACCTACTCAGGGCCAAGTATATATTACGTGGGTTCGTCGCCGGCTGTCATATAAATATAAGCTTACTTCCGGACTGGCATGAAACTTGATGAAAGACTGAACAATAAATGGTGCAGATGTGAAATTGGTTTCAGAAACCTTCTGAATTTCATCGTGGAAAGTTATATTTTTGTTTATATGATCACTTTTTTTTCTCAATTTACAAAACGAACCCAAAATCGTCACTCGGACTGCAAATAACAAGTCAAACCAATGAATTATGACTTATGACAAAAACCTCCACTTCTGCACAGGGCGACAGTCCAATCAAACTTCACTGGTTAAACAAAACTATTAAGGATCAATGGGACCAAGATTTTACTCTGGCATGAGATGAGCTTATCTTGAATTTGCAAGATACGAAAGAAAATATACCGCAAAAGAGATATTGATCTCGATAGTGTGCAGGCAGGGCAAAAGCCGAAAGTAGAGTGATGCCCAAGTCAGTGAGAGAAAGTAGAGTGATGTCTAGTGGGAGAGATTGAACAGTTGATTTACCATTAATGTCATCTCGGGGTATTTATACTCATTGTTATAGAGGCTCTGACATTAAATGCGAGGTCAAGTGACCTACTGATGTCTTGTTCGTCGTATTACCGCTCTGGCGATAATAAATGCAGTCACATACATATAGAGATTCGTACTTCTGATGACATTTCTTGCTTCGATGCTGATTTGACACTACGAGGTACTTTCTGTCAGGCGGGCTATCGATTGTCCTTCTTCTCAGAGGCTGTGCTAGCTTACTAACCGTCTCCAGGCTCCATGTGTCTCCCACGATAGGCGGTCTCCTTCCGTTGGACTTAGCCCATTATTGGCGGGCTCTGACTATCGTGGACTTAGAGGCCCATCTAATTAAGTTCAACACTTGGCTCAACATTTGCCCTTTAGATGGGAAAAGCTATGGGTTTTGGCGGCTATAACTAGGTTACATGTGTTGAGTGGTCTTGACGTGTTGTGACATGCTCTCTATCGTGTGCCCCCTGCCGTTAAGATGCATAGCAGACCACATAAGGGCGTCCTGCCTCCTTCGTTGTCGATAGTTTTCCCAAGGACCTCTTCAAATTAAGTGCACGCTCTTGCCCTTATTATTGCTCCCATTTTGAATATCACGCTCTTCGCCACATGTCACCCATAGGGAAAGGAGGACTGACACTGGTCATTCCAAACGTTGCTTTGGTCTCTTAGCTTTCTTATCGCCGCCTATAACATCCTATTTCGGGCACTCCAAACTTCGACTCATTCTTTGTCTTCCTATAAATCAACTCAGCTTCTCTTTCTTTCCCGCTAAGCTCACTTTAGCTCTCGTGTTTTCCTCTCTTCTTTTCTCTTCCTCCTTGCTTCTTACCACTAGTCACCATTGCTCGTTGAATTATGTTTTGCTTCTTTTCTTGAAAGCCACTGATAACACCCAAAATGATGTTGTTATTTAGCCCCTATATTTTGGGTCTTTTCATGGTCTCAATGGTTAATATTTCATCAAATGCATCATGAATCCATCCATTGGAGTAATTTATGTCATTTTAAGGGTGTATTAGATGATACAAAAGGGGTCACAAGTGTAGGAAAAAGAGAAAAACAAGGAGATCACGGTCGAGAAGAGGAGGGGCGAAGTCTAGTTTGAAGATCGCTGCCTCTGGAGCAAAGATCACGCTCCCGAACTAGGAAGTGTCAACCGTGAACTTGAGGAGCAGCCACCAAGGAAGGAACAGAGAGTTTCGACAGTCGACTCGCAGCCTCTATTGTCCAAGACCACGAGAAAGATCGCAAACATGGCTCACAGATTGTGATGATGAAGTCAGGCCGTGAACTCCCAAGCCAACAAGTAGCAAAGGCGCCACCCTTCGAGATAACAATCTCACATCCCATGTTCACTCCCACGAACTTCCAGCCCACAACGATGAACTTTCCCGTCCTCTTGAAATCTATAAATAGGGGACTCCTTCCTTTCACTAGAGTGGCTTTTGACAGGTTTGTTGTTTTAGAGTGAGGTTAGAGAGAAGGTTTGAAAAGAAGAAGTGAATGAGAGCTTGATTTCCCCCCATTTTCACTTCTCTTCTCTCTCTCTCTCCCCCCCCCCCCCCCCCCCCCTCATGGTAGTTCCGCAAGGTATTTTAGTGCTTAGTCCCCCAAATCCTAACATAGGGTTTGATATGTAATAGGATGTTTTAGGCTTGATTTGTGGATGATTATGAACCTATCTATCTATCTATGTCGATTTGATTATTGTTCTTACTTTGCATCAAGTAGTGTGGGATTGTCTGTACCCCATTTGCCCAAGTTGCAAATTAAGTGGTGGGGGGTTTATCATTCTCCTTCTTGTAATTTGTGAATGAGTTTACCTAGAGCTTTTATGCATTTATCTATGTTAATTATGCTTTGAACTTGTCTCTCCATATGATTTTCATGAATGCCTACTACTTAGGATTGCATGAGATGGTTGTGGATTTGAGCGGTTTGGTATGTTAGTGTAGATGAATGATCTAGGAATCTAGTAAGGTGGACGAGGTGATCCACGGGGTCGAGTGGTGACATTGGCTTGACAACCTAGTGTGTGGATGGGTTTAACCCATTTAGAGGGGATAGGTTTTATCCATGCATCGTGAATCTAGCTGAGATGACATCAGGTTAGTGGATCAGTGCAGGAGGGGAATTGATTGCATGACCATTGAGCCAATCCCTAGATTAGCAATCTCCGCACCTCAGTCACCGTGAATTGTCCTTCTGTCCTTTGCATGCCATCTCCAGCGGTTAGGACGAGGGAGGCACCCCAAGTACTCTTCTCTCCTATTGACTTGTAGTTCATTAATCTCCAACTTTCCACCTGCTAAGTAATAATCGACTATATAGAAACCGAGCCTAAGTAGGCTAGGAAACCATGACCCTTTGAGTACGACCGAGCCATTTACTACATCGTTAGCATTGTTATACTTGGCTTTGTTAGGATAGATGTGAGTGTGCTTCGAAATAAAAATATAAAATCTCATCAGCCACCCAAAGATCTCCACCATGAAACCATCAAAGTCTCAAAAGCTCAAAAGGAAATCTCAAAAGATGTCAAAGAAATCGACCACCATTGTCGTTGTTGATATTTAGGCTGATGCTTCGACCGAGATTCAAGCGATTGATGACGGTGACGCTGTGGCCACCGCTTTGGCCACCCTTTCGACTAACGATGGTTCATTTGGGTCCTCCACTGGTGTTGTACAAACCGCCAAAGGTATGCTTGACTTTCTATATCCTTTAAGCATTTCAGATTACGAATGGGAATTTTCCACTATGGAGTCAGATTTGGGGGTGTTCCCATTAATGTGAGACAAACATATACAGGACGAGCTTATATTTCTATTTTATGGCTAACTGATGTGGCCAGGTGCCTCTGTAGTGATTAGGAGAATTCTTCAGTTGTTGATGATAGCTCTGCCTTTAGATAGCATCTCTTTTGATAGCCCTAAGGTGACTCACACAAATTATCCACCTCCAAGCTCTCCCTCTTTGATGATTTTTGGAGACCCCCCTCCCCATATATCCATTTCAAGCAATTGCTTACAACACCTATAGGTTGTGACATCATGAAGATATGTAGGAGAACGTTCCAGTTCCCTTGGCTGTCAATGAGCAAGGTCCTGCTTATGAACCCCTCTTTTCCATTGCCTAAAGACGCATAACCTTCCTGCTGATTGGGACTATGCAGCTCCCTCTCCTAAAATCCGCTCAGGGTCTTGTCCTGATGGCTGGATTACTGTCTATGTAGTGCATGTCAGACTGGGAATATGCTTTCCTTTAGATCATGTACTTGCTAGCACTTTGTGCCGATTGAAGTGCATTATTGGGCATCTCTTCCCATCAATTTCCTTCCAATTTGTTGCCTATAGGGCCGCTTGTGAGAGTTTGGGAGTGCAACCCTCTTTTGACATCTTCCTACTAATGTATAGTCTCCGGGAGTCTGGGAACTATTAGTCGTTGGGAGGTAAGAGACAGAGGTGAGCTTTGTGCATGGCTCTCCAAAACTGGACTCAACTTGGTTTAAAGAGTATTTCCATGCTTGTCCCTCTGAAAAGTGGTATTTCGCTGATGTAGAGCCGCTTACAGGGTATGCTTATGGCGAAGAATTCTAGAAAGTGAACCTTGACTCCCATGTTTACACCCCGAGACCACGCGCTTCAAATTTCTAAGGAATTTTTTATTTAACTTCCACCTAATGGTCATAATAATGCACTCCAGATTGTTCGTGAGTTTTATGGTTAGTATATGATGACACATTATTTATAGTTTTGTCACTCTCATTCTTGATATTGTTTCCCCTTCTATCAAAGCATCTTTAGTTATTTCTCTAGTATTTCTTATCTAAATTACAACTATTTGATCAATGAGCCTTTAATAGACCTAGGTTGTGTTCTTTTCCTATTTGATGCCTTTTTGGTATGGTGTTTTTAATGATTTTGAAGTTACAAATCAACCAAAGGAAGTTTGGATCAAGCATTGAAGAAATCTGGAGGACTAAAGGAGCTATAAAGAGAAGAATATGGAGTTTTTGTGATAAAGATGAGTTAGAATGACAGAGAAGTCCACTATCGGTTGCTATATGATCCCAAGACAAGCCTAATAGAAGAAAACTTAGCCCAAGCTGAAGAAGAAACGAGCGATAGCCCAGCATCGGGTTCAACCGCCGCTGGAGAATACCTGGTCAAGACACGTCCAAATCTTGAGGAGAAGCATTCCATGGGCCAGGTAATCCAACCCACAAAGAAAATGAGTGGCGGCCCCAACCGCCGCTCAAAACCTAATCCTCCAGGAAGCTTCTTGAGCAAGCTACTTCGTCCACAAGTTGATGGAAACCAACTTCAAGTCAGATAAGGAAGGATTTGACCGACTTTAGCAGGAAAAGACTAGAAAACCCCTCATTTGTGTACTATAAGTAGGGCTGGACTTCAGTTAGCCGAACAACCTTTGCTCTTGAAACTACTGAAGCTATATCGAATTGAGGAGAAAAATGACTCCCTTGAGTTTCCTCCCTCAATCTCACTTGGTTAGCTAAATCCTTTTTTGTTTGTGTTGTTGATTTCATTATTTGTATTGTATTGCTTTGTATGATTAATGAGATGCTTTAGAGCATCAATGGTCCTTTGATTCGGGGCTAATTATACACATTTTACCCCTCATTTTTTGATAGTTTGACTTTGCATTTCATTGTCCCTCAACCTATTTTATGCTAGGGTGTGCTACTTTTGAAACATATTAGGTCCTAACACGTGTGGAAGGATCGAGGATGAGTTTTGAGACGATTGGAGTCGAAAAGCGCAAAAAAGTGAAGAAAAGTCCAAAAAA